GGGGGCATGGGAAGATGGGAAGGAGAGGGAACTGGCATTGATATGTAAAAAAATTATACAATAAAAAATTTAAAATGGGTAATATTGACTTTGATTCCTCTGATGTATACTACCTAACTAGTACATGGCTCAATAAATTTCATATACCACTTTCTATTTTTAGATTAAATTTATTATCATCATACCTTAGCATTTATCTTTGTCTTTATTTATCTCAATCTTAATATAGTTTGGCCCATGTAGGGTAACAGCTGTTGGGTAAGTCATGTCAAATACACAGCTGAGTTTTCCAAAAACCCATTTTTTAAACACTGTGGTTGGACAAATGGTGATGAGGAAGTTTTACTTATTACTTTTTCACTGCCCCATTATTAAAAATTTAATGTTGATATAGTTGCAGTGGAGGAGCAAACGCTTCAGAACTTTTGGGACATCTAGGTTTCATGATGAGGCCGTTATATCAACAAAAACAAAGAAAAATAATCTTACTATAGACAAGAGAGACACTGGTGATTCAAATAACTTTGGTGGGTTTTTTTCTGACTATTTTTCTAATAAATCTAGAGTCTTAAACATACTGGGCAAGTACTCCTCCTACTGAGCCACATACTCCACTATGTCTTTCATTCTACACAATACTAAACTATACAATAGGATATATGCTGAGAAGACCACAGTGAATGTCCTATTAGCATAAAAGGATAGAAATGTGATTCCAAAGAAACATATTATAATCCTACTGACACTTAATTTGGCAAAGCTGAACTATCAGCATGAAAAATACCAACTCATAAAGTATAATGTCGAAAACTCCCAGAAATTATATTCCCCAAAGTAGATCTATTTACACAGAGCAATTATGCATTAGCATATTTCCATTGATACAGAGTTCAGGATCTTTGAATTAACATAGAAATCATTTTTATATTCATATGGAAACACCTAGTAACTTCAGATGGCTGTATAAATGTGGGAAAGTAACACAAAGTTGAGTTTTCAAGATTCAAGGTAGCTTAATAAAAACTTGAGACAAAGAGAAGTGGCCTAAGTAAGAATCCTTCCAGAATGATCTATTTTATGT